ATTAATTATTTCTTCAAAAGCAAAAGATAAGCCTGACCAGGAGGCTGACCATCCTCTGCCGGTGGATGGCCCAGGGCCAGGCAAAAATTAACCCCTGCCCTTTGTACTCTGTACTCCGTACTTCGTACTCTGTGTATCCTGGGCATCCTTTTTGGCGTTTTGTGTCATTAGCTTAAAACCGAGACCGAGGACCATGGTCAGTGGTAGGACCACAGCACACACACGCATTTTCCGGCCGGCATTTCAGTATCATTTCAGAGCGTTATCCTCGACGCCGGCCGCATGTGGCACCAGGAGATTAATTAATCTTTAAGGACTCATTGTGTGGTGTTTTTCCCATCCCCTTCCCCTCCCTCGAACATGAATCCTAAACGGAGACCACTCTCCTTCACTCATTAGGACATTCGGGTGGGCAGCATTTGCATGTCCAGCAGGACGAAATGAATTTATGGCTCTCGGTTTTAAAGATTTTTTTTTTATTTCTTATTTTTTTTTTTTATGAATATACAAGTTTCTTTTCTGAGGTAACTTGTATGTGTAACTATAATGTGCTTTTTATTTTAATAATATCTTAACTAATTTACTCGTCCTCGTGTCCGTCAATGAGACTACTTTGCTAAAAAATTATTCTATTTCCTAGGACATGGGGTTCAGATTGGGTATAAAGTCTAGCAGAGTGACTAATTATAATATTTAAATCCTATATTCTATGATTATTTATATCTTTACCTAAATATATCCATTTTTCCCTGTCCGCGTGTCCGTTTGTCCGCAAAATAGACTATCTTGGTAAATAATTATACTATATTTTAGCCTAAAGTCTAGCAGAGTGACTATTTATAATATTTATAACCTATATCCTATCATAGGTTAAATATTTGCTTAAATATAAAATATATATTTGCTTAAATTTATATATTAAATATTTATCTCTGTCCGCGTGTCCGCCAAATGGTATTTTTCTACGAAAACAAGTCTTATTTTTAAGGCTATCAAGTTGAGATTTGGTATTCAGTTTCTAGCAGAGCTACTGGCTATATATTGTATATATATATATATCCCTATGATTTGTAGCTCTTTTTAGCTTTTTATAGAGATTTTTATCTGTCCGCAAAATAGACTTTTTCTATGAAAACTAGTCTTATTTTTATGGTAAGGCTATCTAGTTTAGATTTTGTGTACAGTCTCTATTCTATATGTATATATCTTACTACATCTTTTTTCTTAACCTAGCTATAGCCTAATTTTAGCCTAAACTTTACTTATATTCAAGGCCATTGAGTTAAGACTTTTTCTATGAAAACTAGTCTTATTTTTATGGTAAGGCTATCTAGTTTAGATTTTGTGTACAGTCTCTATTCTATATGTATATATCTTACTACATCTTTTTTCTTAACCTAGCTATAGCCTAATTTTAGCCTAAACTTTTCTTATTTTCAAGGCCATTGAGTTAAGACTTGGCATACAGTCTCTGACAGATCCAAAAACTATATCCCTTATTCCATAGCTCTAGTTTTGATTAAATTTGAATCTTTTCCTTAGAAATTGTCGCATTCACCTGGCATTTATTTCGATTAGCCATCAAAGTAAGACAAATCTGTCTTAAAGCCAGAGGAAAGTTGAGGTTTGAAACTCCTGGTATCCCGGCATGCCATCCTGGGAATTTATACCTCCAGTATAAAATATTTATGGACGATTATTTGGTTAGATGCCACTAGCTACTAGCTACTATCTACTACGACAAAGTTATCCTTTGATGCGAATTCTCTTATTTATTAGCTGCCTTACGTGAATTATTTTCAACTCTTTCGGCTTTGACTTTGACTCTGGGCTTTGCCTTTTGTGGCAACCTGGGAATTGTTGTGGCACATCCTGACAGGGAATTCCACCTTAACCGAGATACTTTTTTTGGTGGGAAGGGGGGTGGTATAGATGGCAGTGCATTCTTTGGTTAGAAAGACAGAAAGAGGTGGCAATGGCTCCGTTTAATGGCCCAAACTTAGGGACATAAACAGCGGAAACTAGAACTGCCACAAGCTCACGTGTGGCAAGAGCGCTACGGCGGGCTGTTAAAATGATTAATGATGTGTGTGTGGCATGTACGTTAACGCCTTTCCCTCCCCGCATCCCCCTCGAAGCTTGAAGAAGTAACTCACCGGGACAGATGTTGTCATAAATAAAAAGAAGTTCAACGGAAGTATAAAGGAAGATGATGATGATGCTTTACGGTTTGCAGGTTAACTTTTTTTTGGGGGGGGGGGAAGGAGGTGGCACTGAAACAGTGGCAGACATACATGTAAATAAACATGTCCTTCCCAGCCACAGCCACTGCCACCCTAACAAAGTTATTTATTTATGCATGTGTGTGTGTGTGGGCGAGTCTGTTAGGGCCACATTAATGTCAAATCAGGCGCATAAATTGCGTAAAACGCTCAATTTATTTAACGAAGCATGCTCGACGGGGCGTGGCTGTGACAAGTGTATTTGGGCCAGTTAATAAATGTTGCCAATGCCCCCCTTTTATTATTCGCATTTTAAACTTTATACCTCAAGATTCTTCACATTCATATACATATTTTTACACATTTTTTATTTATTTTATTTTTTTTTTATTTGTTAGTAGTCATGCCGCGTTAAAGTGGCAATTGTTCAATTCACGGCACAAAAAGTGGCACGGCCCTCCTCGTGGGCAATTGCCATCAATCGATTTGGCTTATAGGAATAGTGACAGAGGCAATCACAGACCCATAGATTCAGATATGGCATCCACGAAAGGGGCTCATAAAAATTTTAAAACGCTTGACTGGTCTGTTGATGGGGTTTTCAGAGGTATGCGACTTGTCAGGTACCCTGTAAGACCATAAAAGATTAAATAAAAGATTAAAAAATGCCTAAAAAATTATTAATGCGAGATTAGAGTGAAAATTGTCATTATTTTCCTTTAATTTCCATTATTTTTCAAAATAAAGTCGAAGTACAAATGTAGATGTTTTATTTAGTTTTTGGTGAGAAGATCTTAGGTCTTGTATGTAAAATCTAGAAATTGCATTAAAAAAATATATATTTTTTAAAAGTAAAATCTAGTTTTTTAAGAAATAGTGACTTTGGCGGACAAACGGACACACGGACAGAGAAATATGGCTGTGAAACCCCAAAAAAAGACATACCATCACTATATATAAAATTTTGAGTTCGAGAGAAGTTTCTAATAATAAAAAGCCTACATCCTGATCTTCATAAAGATCAAAAAAGACTAGTTTTTTTTAAAAAATAGTCAAATTGGAGGACAGACGGAAACGCGGACAGGAGAACATGTCAATATCGAGCCAAAGATAGAGTCTATAGTCTCTATAGACAGACATGTCTTAATCCTTTTGTATAAAATCTAAAAAAAAGCATAAAAAAATATATATATTTAAAAAAATACATTTTTTCTTAAAAAAAAGGACTATTTTTCTAAGAAATAGTACAATTGGCGGACAAACAGACACGCGGACAGAGAAAAGTCTATAAAAGAAACCAAAAAAAAAGAGACTAACATCACTACAAGTAGACTTTCGAGATCCAAAGAAGGCTCATCTTCCGAGAAAGGATATGCATAAAGTAAGATATATATAAGATATCATCCTTAGATATGATTCTAGGGTATCTCTCTAGTCGTTTATTGACTCTCCCTTTGGAGATTTGCTTGTTTCGCGTTTTGTTTCGCTTTTGGCTTTCCAATTGCAGAGACGACGACGTGCCAGGACGATGCTGCCAGGATGCTGCTCGTCTTAGCGCAAGTGTATGTGTGTGTGTGTAGGTGTCAAGGGTGCTGTCCTGGCCCCCGCTCTAGTCCCTTTGGCCGGATTGCATATTTTGCTGCCTCACGAACATGAGCGCTCGTTAAACGGATGAGTTAAAAGTCAAAAGCCCTAAAGGATTTTATTTGAATTGCGGTCTGGGCCGCCGCCGTCGTTCGACATCTCTGTTGCGAAGCTCCAGTACACCACCCCTTCTTCTCTGTACTGTGTGTGTGTGTGTGTTGTGTTGTGTGCCATGTTTTATTTAAAGTTTATCTTTGCCGCCCTTTCTTTTTTTTTTTTTTTTTTTTTTGCCAACAAACCCAAGTCCACCCCCCATGCCCATCCAAGTGTTGGCCCTCTTTTCTTCACGCTAATTTCGCGCCAAGGCGGGCAGGCGGCGAGCGGGTGGGTGGTTGGGTGGTTCTGTAAAAAAATATGCGCAAAATAAAATGTTGGAAAAATATTTGAACGGATTTGGAGAACAAAAGGGTTGCCTTGCCGCCTGGTCCTGGTCGTGGTCCTGGTTCTGGTCCTTCTTGTTGTCGGCACGTCGCCGTTTCAAAGCCGTGTTGAAAAATATTTGAAATAATTGCAAAAATGTTTTCACAGCAACTGGAAGGGGGGTTATCATTTTTTGTATTTTTTTTTTAAGAAGGATATTGTCTTACAAGCTTGGCCATTCGGGGCACGTCCTTGCTGCAGAATCCTTTTAAACTGGAGCAGACACGCTTCGCATAATACCATCTAGATACGAAATATATACCTCTAGTTCTGAGAACAATCAGAGCTATGAGCTATAGGGTTTAAGGACAATTTATTTTTTAAGAATATTTTTTAATGACCTGGCTTTTGGCTAAAAACTATTATGGTTTATAGGCCTACCATAACTCTAAGTGTTTCCATTTTAGTCTTAACTCCCCACCTTATGGGAGTTTCCAAAGAGCTCTATTATACTCCATTATCTTTTATTTTCCAACAACTCTCTTTCAGAATTCTTAGTACTCTTTTTCCAGCTCATATTGTACTTAACCTATTTTCTAGAATAAGCCCTACAAATAGTACCTTTATCTCTGTAATTAATAATCTTTATAATTAATATTCTAACCATAATATTTAATCATTTATTTTAACAGCAATTTTTTGTAGAAATGTTAGCTTTTTATTTGAATTTTTTTGTTAATTATAAGCCTTATTTTGTAATAATCCGTCGCAGTGACCAAGATGACGGATCCGGCTATAGGATCCTCATCTCCGGACTGGGCATGTCTTATATCGGCTGGACGTATACCCAACTCGAGTAAGTACCCATAGATACCCACTCAGCAGAACTCGCTAATACTGACAAGCCATAGTAGATGTGGAACCGGAAGAGACTATAATACCTACGGATAACTTACCATCGGAACAGACATTGGCATCGGAACAGGCATTGGAACATGATACAATTGGCGAGGCGAATTTGGGGGCACAGATGTCCCCCTATGCCCCAGTTTTCTACCCGACCGGATCATACGCGGCGCAACTGTTGGCTCAAGAGCAGGCGGCCCAGTTGCATTCACGTATTCTGCCGCCACGTCACTTCGAGCCTGGAATGGATAGCATCTTCTATAGTACAGCAGTGGCGGCAGGATACAGCCCCCGGCCCAATCGTGAACAGCAACACCAACACCAACAGCATCGCCCGATCCCGGAGCCGGATAACGATCCGGAACCGAACCAGAACAGCTTCGGATTGGGTATGGGTCCCAGCACCAGTGGAATAGGCAGAGCAGCCACTGGCACTACTCTCATCGATCAGGACAATAGATTAGACTACAGACCACTTTCCCGGATGGGCCTACGCCCGATTCGTTCGCCCGGCCAGGAGCTGCGTTGCGCCGTGGAAGCAGCCGCCGGACTGCCGCCGGGAGCCATTGGCGCCGAAGTCGAGGCCATGGAAAGGGCCATGGAGCGGGAGCGCCAGGATTCGCCGGCCTCTGCCTGGGCTCCGTACTCGTATGCCAATCCTGTTGTGATTGTGGGCGACAATCTGAATGATCAACAGTCGCCGGAGTCACCGGACGCCACCTCAGGGAACTCGACAGATACCGCCACCGAGCAAGTAGCCAGCGGTGCTACCGATGATCTGCCAGGACATTCCAACATGTATGGCAACGCCAATGCTAATGACTTTCCGCCCTTCGATCTGTTTGCCGGGCAGCTGGACCATGTCGGAGTGCCACGCGACGACTACATAGCCACTCTGCGCAACTTGCTGATCCGCGCCAACGACATGCTGGCACCGCTGCTCCAGGGACCCTTCACCAACATGTCCCCCACCCAGATAGCCGCCTACACCGCTGCCATACTCGATACGCCACCATTGCATCCGAGTCTCTTCATGCCAGGGGTAAGTTTAAAGGAGTCACTGATCTTCTCTCTTCATCATCTTCTATCCCCTCCTCCATAGAATATGGCACGCTCTTGGGCAGGAGCCTCTGGTATTGATCTTCCGCCCTTTCATCCTCACAGCTTGACCCCACAGGACTTGGCCACGATTCTGGTAAGATTTTTGAGGTTTCTCACATGCAGTTAACCTTATAAAGTACCTGATCCTTAATCCGCCACCGAATCCCTTTCAGGCTCTGCCCAAAGGAGTCGATGTGGGCACCCAGACTGACTTCCGCTGCGTATGCATGAACCTCCCCGCCGGACAGGGCCCTGGAGCCGCCGGACTGGGCTTAGGAGGAAATCCTCTGCAGGCTGGACAGCCGACTGCCGGACCACACGTACCCGGAGTCCACTATTCCTACGACATGAACTTGAATGCATCGCGCCTAGGGACACCAGTTGGAACGCCTGGCAGCCCGATGGCCACACCGGCCGCCTTCGCCACCGGATCACCAATTCCACAGGCCAACAATGGACCTACGACACATGGCTCGCTCGGATTTTGGGGCAGACCCTTGCGTGAGTATAGTTTTGAGTTTCTGGAGAGAATTGGAGGTTAAGTTTTCCGGCTTTTTCTTTCGCAGCCATGGCCATGCATCCGCATCAGGTGGGCACCCCGACACCGCCTCCGTTTCATACGACGCATCCGCATGCCGCCTTTCCACATCCGGGACCACATGCCCAAATGGCCTACCCGCAGGTCGCAACACATCCGCACCAGCTGGGCGGGGCCGTACGTTATCAGGAGACGGGCGCAGGACGCTATGGCTACCGCGTGGGACACTTTAGTCCGGCGCCTCCTTGTCGCTACGGAGCCATCGGCAACGGACGTACTACCAGCCGTCCTGCCAGCAACCTGACAACCTCTACCATCTCTGTGCTCCGATCCATCGGAGCGGGAGCTCAGGTAGCAGACCAACAACCTTCGCCCCTCATCCAACAGATGACCCAGCAGCGCCTGGACGAGATCGAACAGGAGCTGGAGATGCAACTGCGATTGGACTTGCAGCAGAACAGCGATGCCGGCAGCAGCACGGATGCAAGCAACAGTGGAACCGGAACTGGACGAACTGCATCCCCCGCCGTCAAGGAGCCAGTTTCGCGCAACAAGAAGCCTCAGGATTTAGCCAACAATGATCTCAGCGCCCGTTCAGTGGTCGGCGAAGAAGGAAACTCGACTGAAGACGGTGGCGAAGGCGACATAGAAGACGGGGAAGGCACAGAGACCGAGTCCAGCTCGTCCAGTGCCAGTGAGCAGTCCATTGTACGCCATGGCTATCGCTCGGAGGCGGCAAACGACGACCAGGACCAGGACCAGGATCAGGAGAGCGAGGAAACTAGCGACAGCAGCTTCGAGGAGGAGGAGGAGGAGGCGGAATCGCAATCCGAGTCTGAAGACGGAGTCGACGAGGACGAATCGGTATCGGAATCTGAATCCGAGTCCGAATCCGCATACGACGAGGAGGATGAGGACGAATCCACCTCCGGAGAGGAAGAGGACACCACCGAGCCCAACACCGAGAATGCGGAATCCGAGGGATTTGACACCGAACGTCGCCCAAATCCGGCAACAAGCGGATCCTCCGTCCAGGGCTCCCCCTCTGTGGTGATGCCACAGTCGCCGCAACGTCGCTTCTGCTTCGGACAGGTTCAGTTCCTGGGCTACACTCTGCAGGAGAATACCATCCAGACTGGGCCGAGTCCCCGACTGCCGCACGCCTTTGGCGCCGCCTACTTGGAGCATGGAGGCCCCCAGACGCCCAGAGAGCACTTGCCGTGCGCCCAGGTGATGCCCCACATCTTGCCAGCCAGTTTCGTGACCATGCCGACGATGGTCGAGGAGATCGGCCATTTGGGAGGACCGGTGACAGTGCCCAGCGTAGCCAGAGGAGTAGCCAGAGGAGCTACACCGCCGACCGGAGGATCGGACAGCCAGACCACCACCAGCTCGTCCACTTCCTCGTCCAGTCGCTCGGCATCGTCGCAGTCGCTGCTCAACGGGCCCAGCACCTCTCAGCACATTCACACTCCCGGGCCGGACTTCAATCCTCCACCCCTGCCCGATCCGGCCAGTAACTTCCTGCGCGCCGCGGCCGCTGCCGCGACTCCACCGCCACCACCGCCGCAGATGTTCTCGCTGCTGCAGGAGCGTCCCATAGCCCCCATCCTGTTCGATGTCGGAGGCAGTCGCAGTCCCGCCGTCGGACCCCCCCATGTCGTCATCCAGAACGTGAACGGAAACCTGGGCCTGTTGAACGCCGCCCCCGTGAATGGTCATGGAGCCGGACTTGGCTCACCCAATCGGCACCTGGGGATGGCCTTCAATGCCGGCGCTCCGTTGAGTCCCCAGTCCCTGCTGCCGCCCCACATGCGAGCCGCACCCGTCAACCACCACGTGAACATAAATACCCTAAACATCAACGTGAACCACTATGTCGGCCCTGTGAGCCATATGAACCACCATGGCCTGGGAATGGGCATGGGCATGGGCATGGCCGTTGGCATGGGCGTAGGGGTAGGCGTAGGCGTAGGCGTAGGTATGGGCGGGACGCATATGGTGCCTGTGCCGTTGTCGGTGATCGCTGCCAATCGCCTCCAGCAGGCGGGCGTTCCCCCGAATCTAATACCTCAGCCGCCATCGCCACCTAGATGCTATACTTCTGCCTTGAACCGCAGCCACTCTCCGAATTCGGGCCAGAATCTTGCCCACAACCACAACCAGAACCTGAGCCAGGTTTTAACTCAAAATCTGAACCAAGCATTGAATCATAACATCAATCATGTCCTGAATCATAACGTGAACCAAGCACTGCATTCAACCCTGAACCCGATCCTAGTTCCCAGACTGAATATCAATCACACTGTGCCTGGTGTCCTGGAAGTGCCAACCCTCAATGGAAATGGACCGCAGCTGGTAGAAGTTCCACTTGAAGAGGCCCAGTCGAACGAAGCAGGAGGTGAACTTGGTGACGCTCCGAGACCTACATCTGGACCTACACCTGAACCTACAACTGGACCTACACCGGAATCTACACCTGAATCTACACCTGGAGCTACACCTGAACCCACACCTGAAGCAGCTATTCCGTCCTCGCCAGCCAGCTTGGCGACCCAAGCAGCTCAGGTGGTGGCAGCCACTTTTGGTGCTTCCATTCCGCGTACTGATGCAGAGACGAAGACCACTCCATCCTATGCATCCATGTTGCAGTAGACATCCTAACTTGGTACTTTCTGTTGGATTGGAACTCTATACTTTCCTGCCAACATTGGCCATAGAAGCATGCACTTCCCCCCAACCACAACCCTATAAAATACACCTCACAAACATATACTCCTCCACAATCACACACACACCTCTTACACACACCCCTCACACACACCTCACACCCCAAAACCCCAATAAAATCCACCCACACCAAACCCTCACCCACCAAACCCCAATTGGTTGTTTCACGTTTTTCCAGGACTTTAAAGTTGGGGCACAGTGGTTGCATGATGATTCCTTTCAAAAATCAAGGGGGTTTAAAAGTAAGTTATATCTTGGAAGTACAGTGCCAGGTTTCACTCTAAAAGCCTTTCAAGATCTCTTACCTTTTGGGACTTGGGCTGGAACCACAGTGCCCCTGGTCGGTCGGTCATTCCATATTCATATAACGATGTGCGAATTGCAAATCGCGGCATTAACTTTGTCTGCTTTGCAATTTCCTTAAATTTTTGAGTAAGGAACCCTCATTCTCATCCTCATCCGTATCCGTAGAAGAAATGTGTTTACGGCGTGGAATTCTCAAGTGGCCAGTGCGAGGTCCTCTTCCTCCACGTTGCAGCCTTTTGTGGCAGGAGGAGGCTGTCTGGTGGCAGGGACATACCCTTTGAACTTTGTGTGCGTTTCTGTGACCTCGAGCCGAACTAATCGGGCTAATCTTTTACGCTGCCTGCATTCTAAAGCATGCTTAAGGGGGTAACCCCATCCGGTAAGAAGGGGTTATTCCATGAATTATATTCCCTGCCTCTCTCCACTCATTTTTTTTCGTTCATGTGTGAGCTTTTTGTAATTAAATGAAAGTCGTGGAAAGTTAAACATAGAGAAGGTTAAAGACTGATTATTAACATGGAAGTAAGGTAGAGTTCCCAGCCAGAGACCACTGTATACTCTGGCATTGCTTTATTTGTTAAATACCCATAGTTTGACCAGAAATTTAACGCTTCCCTGAACCTCAACCGCATTGGCTACATTTTTAATCTACAATTAACCACAGCTGCGGTACCATTTGAACCACCGGGCTCTGAGCTCCAGAGAGCCTCTGACCCTGCCAGCAAAGGGGGCCAGTATCAATATTGATTCTATTAATTATAAAAACATTAAGTGCCAGCCAACAAATGTAATTTAAACGCATTAAACAATTGCATTGGCGGAGTAATGGCGGAAAAATGTATAAACCCCTTTCCAGTCAAGTCCAGCCAATTCAATCCCAATCGTTGGACTCTACGGCCTGTCCGCGTGTCCGTTTGTCCGCCTGTCCGCTTGTCCGTTTGTCCGTTGCTGATGCGCCGCGATAAGCACGTTTTCAATTCACACACAAAAAGGGAGAGACCCGACGGACAGGTGGGTCACTGGGATTGGCCAAGAGAGAGAGGTGAGGGGAGGAGAGGTGATCGGATTGTCGCACATTAATGACGAAATTATTGTTTCAATTGCTTTCAACCGTTGTCAATGCAAATTTTATGCAAATACTTTTCGCCGCCAGTCGTTCCTTTCTCTCTTAAATGCCATTGTGGCCAATAAGTCAATAATAATTACTGGCCCACCCGGCCAACAACTGTCCATTGTCCAATGTCCCGGGTGGGGCTACTCTGACTCCTACTTTTTTGTCGCATCCGTGTGACCATTTTGAAATAGGCGTTAATTACTTTTATCGGCCCGAAAGGGCACAAAACAAACAAAAATAATAACAAAAAGCGAAACTGCAACAGGAACGTAACGTTTAGCGCCCACGGACCATAAATTCGTGTCGTTCCCTCGGCGTGAATATTTATTTATAAACAATTATTATGGCCGCCACTGGCTGGCGCATAAATTAAGCCAATCCCGGGCTCAATTGTTATGCAAAATGATATTCAACAGCCGTTGAATAGGCTTCCCTTCAAGTAGCTAGCCTATTTTTTAAATCAGTTTGAGATCAAAGGAGGGCCGAGCTGTTTTTTAGGTTAGCTTTCTAAATGACACAAAGCAGTGTCAAGCAGGGCAAAGCAGTGCTTTAAACATGCTTAAACATGCATCTGCTTAAAGATTCGAGTGTTACAAATGTATAAATAAGATTATATTTAATATTTTCCTTCATAAAACACAAGTAAGTAGAAAAATCTATGCCAGTAGTATGGCGATACCCTTTTTTTTGCCACAAGTTCCACCTCTGGCATGTCCTTTTTTTAATCCTGGTCTCCCCTGCATGGGTCATATAATATAATTAATGCTATGAATTACTTGAGAGCTCCAGAGTTCCCCTCTTTTTTTTTTTTTGGGGGGCAGGACATCCCGATGCGAAGCCACAGACACCTCCTGCTCCTGCGTTTCAATGGAGAGACTGTTGCTGGACTATCCTCTGGGTCCTGCGTTTTTGGGGGGATAACTCCAACACGTTGCTGCTTGGTCAGCCACATGCACTTAATTGCTTTATGAGGCGGTCACTCGCTTGTTATAGACTTCAATTTGATTTTTGTGCGAGGCGCGCAAGGATGTCCTTACTGTCCTTACTGGCTATCCACGATGTGTGGCACGAAACGAGGCACTGGGGATCAATTATTTTGGAAGCTGGCTATAACCTCTTGCTTCTGCCCGGAGGCGAGAGACGTCGGAGGCGGAGCCGTTGACCCCAAACGATATTTTAAATGCAGATTGTTGCGGCATCCCGAAAAAGTTTTTTAATCATACCAATGGCCCATAGATGATGCCACTTACTAATGATAATTGTGATGAGAATCGCGCCAACGAACACGTCAGCAGTGTTCAACTTTTTAATGTCAGTTGTGTGCACTTTCTTTTTTTTTTTTCCTAAGGTGCGAAAAGAAATTGAGCCTTTGTACATAGTCCTTTCTAGCAGCCAAGAGGCAGCATCGGTAATACCCTTGAGTTACCCTCGTCAGGTGCGGAAAACTTTGCAGGATGCTGGAGTTTTGTAATGGCTTTTTGTTTGCGACTCACGCACACAAATCATAGCCTCAATGCAACCCTTACTTTGGAAAAGCAAAAAAAAAAAAAACAAACAGGGAATAAGAGTTTCTGGACTATCTGATACCCGGTACTGGGTCTGGAAACCCTTAGATCCCTAGTCTTAGTCCTAGATTCGTATATACCCTTTGTAAGCTATGAGTGTGAGCTATGGATGTGAGAAAAAAAAAATAAGGAGAAAGTTTCCATGGCGAAAGTCTTTTGATACAAGTTTTCCTTTTTTTCCGCCAACATGCCACCTGCCCACACATGAGCCCGCCCTCCATCTCAAGGATAAGTAAGCCTGGAATGCGCTTCGAGCACTCTATAACTGACCAGTGTCCAGGACAACGAACTGGACATTCAACATTCTGAATGATATTAAAATTTTTGCACATCATTTGATTTGATTTGTGGAATGCCAAACGAGAGAGACACTTTTTTTTATGAGAAACCATTGCCATGGTAAGGGATTTCCTTGAAAAGTGTACTCCCCTTCCTCACATCATCACATTTTCTTCAATATTGGATACATGGTATTTCCATTTTGGCACTTAAGTCGGTTGAAAGTCAATTATAATCAACGCCATCATGTCTGCATCCCCCAATAGAAGTAAAAGAAGACAATTACGAAAGCAAAAGGCAAAGGGTTTCCTTTACTTTCCTTTCCCGTAAAGGATTAAATAGCATCCCATGTATGAGTTAACTTATGCAAAAGTGTTTTCAAGTCTTTTTGGCTGATTGCCAGGCCAGGCTATGGCTTCAGGCTTCCGTCAGAGGCTTAGCCAGGATACTGGGAGTGGTGGTTTTGGAGGTTTGGATGTTGGTGGAGGAAGCACTTTATTCTTTATACAGAGACATCTCTCATTACCGTCCATAAATATGCCACAGAAAGTGCCAGTTTTCGCACTAACCATCAACGACAAAAAAGTGGGGATGCAGATGCAGATGTCCCACCGATATCCACCGCAAGCTTAATTGCTTTACTCGGCCAGGACTCGGCAGGACGTTTCTTCTCTCTGGATCGGTAGTGTAGTGTAGCATTTTGGGTTCTTATCGCGACGGGACAAAAAACCATCAAGTGCTTCAACTGCAAGTCCTGCCAGATTCAGATTTCAGTTTGTGTGTGTTTCTGTTGCGGTCTGTGGCACGCAAATTATATGCAAACGAGCTTAATATCCGGCCAAACAGGACCAAACACACACAGGTCCCTGGTGCAGGAGCAGGAGCATGTCCTCTCTCAGACCCTGTCCTGGTTTCCACGCATATAACTCACTGGCAGAGAGGCCAGGCCCCCTTACCCATAACTAGTTACTCTCCACATCCTGCAACTCATCCAACTGATAATTTCCCTGCACTCCGCTGATAACAACATTTAATTTAATGCCCGAGGTCAGCAATATTCCATTTATTATTGGATTAAATTCGGCAGCAAAGTTTTTTGCTCCTCCATGGGATGCAGAAGCGGATGCCGATGCGGATGCGGATGTGGATGTGGATGAGGGCTGTCCACTATCAGTGTGGCAGGATAAGCGGCCAGTCCTTCAGCTCGCAAATTTGTGTGTGGCAGGATCTCAACGAGCCGGATAGCCTGGGCTTTTCCTCTATATATTCCTTTTTTTTCTTCTTTTTGTTTTTTTGAGTTGTGAGAGTGTGTGTGGATGTGTGGGTGTATTTTTATGTGGCACACACTTGTCGCACTTGTCGTCGTTGTCCCAGCAGCCTGCCTGCCTGATGTCCTGGCTGGCTCTGGTACGTTGTCCTGCCTTGCGACTAGACGACAGGAAATGTATTTACCATTTTTTATGTATCTGTATCGCTTGTTCTCTTTTTTTTTTTTGGCTGGCCCATGAAATTTGCATGACTCGCTGACTGGAAGCCAGGACCTGGCCAGGACCTGGACAAAATGCCCATAAGGGATTAGCTGGATGGATTCATATACATATATATTTTTTTTTTCTCGCTCGGCCAGAATTTGTTGGGAAACTCATTTAAGCCAAGTTATG